AGTACAGTTCCCTGGGGGGCCCCGATGTTACTAATCAGTAAAATTTCTCCATCAATGAAATGGTAAAAAGCTTGATTATTAATTGTACATTAACAGTGTCAGTAGTCTGGCCCTGGTTCTGTCATAAATGATCCCATCACATCTCTGCACTCACAATGTCTTATAAAGTCTTTGCAACAATGTTACATAGCCTTTGTTTGGTAGTATCAAAGTATCAAACCATTTTAGTTTGGTATGGTAGTAGTGTGTCCTCTAGCCTGTATAAAAAAACACTACCCATTGCTATCAATTAGGTGAACATTTGGGTGTATTGTGAAATGTGGCACGACCTTTAGCACATATACGTTTTTAAGAGGGGTAGAGGCTCTTTAGGCGGATATAGCAGGTCAATAGTATATTCCACATAGAGGTGTTATACATCACCTGAAAGGTTGCAACATAAAGATTAAATCGGAGAATGCAGCCCAGCACTGTGTGTCATAAATAAATAATTTTTTTCTGGTGATAAATCTGTAATAAACATTGGGTTTTAGAGTGTAGGTTTAGAGTGTATAAGGGCTGAGAACATTATGATTTAAGTATATGATGCTCATTCCCATGCTAAATTATGTCTAATAAGTAAAATCTTACCATTTTATACCATTTGAAAAGAGATCAAAATTGTCAATAATACCTCCAAAATACTAAATAAGGTCACCATATGATGGATGAAAATCCAATGCTGCGATCTGGTATCAAGATATTTGAACATTTGGGGGTTTCTATAACAATTTTTGGTAGGAAAGCCATACATCCTCTAAATACCCTCGGTCACTAGTTTGTGGTTGTAAAGTCTGTAATTATCCTAGAGGTCACAATAGGTAATTTTAAACAGTGAGGTCAAGTTTAAAAAAATGGTCTCACTACAATAAAATTGTAACTATGGACACTAACATCATCAAACATGAATACAATTGGTCTCATTGAATCCACTGGATTCTCAGGTTTCCAGTCATACCAAATTTATGCAATTCCAATATTGTTTAGGGACTCCAGTATGCAGAAATATTCAAATACACAATTTTCGGAATTGGTTAAATAACACATGCTTTTTGCCCAAAGCTGCATGGGATTAGTATAAAGTGGGCATTTCTGTAAAGGGCAGACTCATGGGTAACCATGGAACCCATTTTCTTGAGAGGTTAAGGGACCCTTTGAAAATGAAAATGATAGTGTTTCCCATGCCGATATTTAGCGTAACTTTGGAGCATTATTATTTAGCCCCCTGTCCTGAGAAGAAAAAAGGGTTGGTACCAACAGATGCCTTAGGTCTTGTAGTTTCATATGATACCAGTATCTTCACTCCAGCTTTAAAACTGAACCTATAGCCTCTGAAAGACAGTAATGTCTGCAGGGGACACAGACGTCCTAGCGGAGTTTAAAAGGTTATAAACGTGACTGACCTGAAAAGTTTAAACGGCGGATGTGCTTAAGCAGATGAGTGCCGTTGATGGGATCCATTTTAGCGCAGAGGCCCACCTTCCCCGGGCAGAGCTCCTGGTGCATATTGTGCAGGGCATGAGCCATTGCATAGACTGCATCAATAACAAACTGCACCTTTCCTTCTTGCTCATAGTTCGAGTCCTTTCCTATCCGCTCCTGATCTGTAAGACACAGACAGATGTAAATTAGACACATTACATGCATAATTATACTGTATGTGTGTGGTTTTGTAAATTGGTTGCATGCGTTCATGGAAAATGCATCCTCTGTGGTCCCCCGTTTGGCTCATTGTTAACTGCGTCAGGTGTGAGGTTGAGACAGACATTTGTAACCATGTAGTTAAACAGGAGAAAGAGGGAGAAAGACAATGATTTCACAAGTGGATATGAACCACTCAGTTGGGAAGAAGATCTGTAATTCTATCACATCATGCAATCAAGAAAAATGTAATCATATAAACACTCAAGTGGTTTCTATGAATGGGTCTAGCTTAAAGAATTATCTACTTGTGAGTTTGCCACCGACTCTTGTTCAAAGTAGGCTCATGATGAAGTAGCATATTTAGTGCTTATTCCAGAAAACTAATATGCATAATAGTACCCAAAAAATGTTTCTTTTTTTTAAATGATTCTTAAAATGCAACTATAGAATAACGAATCTTTTCAACAATTCTACCCTCGCGGCAGCCCCGCTTTGGAGAGCAGCTCAAGTTGGACAGGACAATTCTGTGCAAACCACTTGGAATGAGCTGAACCTTTTAAATGGAGGGTGTGGCGTCAGTCCAAAAGACATATAAGAAAATGCATTGCTCCTCCGTGAGATTCTTTCTACACTGAATGGGTCTTGCCTCTTGCAATTAGCTAGAAGGTAAATATCTGGATCGCTGCAGAGGAGCAAATCAATTCCAATATCTGGAGTGCAAGGTTTTCTCCTCCGGGAAATCTCATCAGTTAAAAACAAAAACTCTTTCTTGTCTCTCTGGCAGGAATACATGGATTTCCCTTTGAGTGATTTTGTACACATTAGGTCTTGGACTTACATGTCTATGCCATTAACTATTACCTTTACCATTTTCCATCAGCAGCTTGCTTGAGATATGTTTGAATGTGATTGAATCCTTGAATCCTTGACTTAAGTGTCCAACTGTGAATTCACGTCTTTATTGCCTGGGTGTATTTAGGGGCCAATACAGTGAAGATTCAGAGAAGCAGGAAATGGAGACATCCATTCACAGGACAGGGATAATCCGGTCATAGGCTCAATGTAATAACTTGTGATAGGAGTTTATTAATCCTGGCCCCGCTTGTTCCATAGGTTTTGTGATTGTTAATTGCTAAGAAGATACGACATGCAAATCCCAACTTCTCCTTTCTCCTCACGAGCCACAAATCTTAAAGATGTCTCAGTGTAACTCTGCTGTATGTGGGAAAGAGATTATAAAAAGCAGGTGTGTTTAATTTAGATTAACAATAGACTAATTACCAGGGATGAACTAATGATAGAGCTGCATATATTTATATACCTGCCAAATGGAATTCAATTAAGCTTAGCAAGTTAATAAGCACGCAGTGGGGGATCTGCTGCTGAAATTTCTACAATAATGACTATACCGTTGGGTGCAAAATTACCCGATGCTGTGGACAGCTGAAATGCTTGTCACCAAATTCTGCAAAAATATGAAATAGTGTGAAATGTCCTACCTTATTTGCCTCAGTATATCAAGACACAAATATTGCTTTGCACAGTTTATACCCTATCTCAGAACTTAAAAAAAGAAAGACAATATAAGTGAAAATATATTTGTAGGAATAAAGGAATCATTTAAAGTCCTAATCTGTCTTCACTCTCATCTTGTTTTGTGAGAAAATGAACCCAGTATTGTGAGTTGAGTGTATCGTTACATCCTTTATTTAAGAATGGATGTTCTTTTTTTACAATTCAAAACATTTTTTAAAAACAAAAATGGATGTCGCTTTTGTTAAGAAACACAACTCAATTTAAGAAATAAATGTATGTTAGCGTCTTGTAAGGTTTAAGTTTCACAGTTTCGAAGTTATGAAGTTACAAAAATTTAAGAAGGTTAATCTGAGATGATTTTCCTTTCCTAACAAAGCAAATGTATAATGTAAAAAATGTGCTGCAGTCATACTGCTATCTACCGGCTACAGTTTGAACTATCTCGATACCACACACATTAAGAAAAAGCAGTATGTCACAGGCAGGCAGAAGAACACACAGTCATCAGTAAAACAGTACATTAAAATGTATGCTGTCGTGGAATGACATCTTGCACTGATTGTCTTGTTGAGTAACACTGATACGATGCCCAAGTATTCAATAGAAAAAGGTGACACCAGGGAACACCTATTGTAAACACATAATCAACCCTGTACCTGCTGGTGTAGAACTGACATAATTAGTAATTTTCATAATTTTACCTGTGGTGCAATATTAAGTATTTAATTAATTATTATGATATATTGAGTCTTTCTGAGGAAATACACACATTTTGTGGCCCAAAATCTGGAATAAATAATTCAATTTGTATATATGTAAAGGCTTAAACACACACGGCATGATTTTTTACTATTCACTGACAGTGTGGTGGCCCAAGTTGACTTATACATTAACCTCTGGACTGTTTGTGGCACTCTGGACAAAAATGCTGTGTACATGAATATTGAATGAATCAGAATGAGTCAGAATAATGATATCTATTCCTTGATCAAATTTAAAAACCTGTTTCACCAAAATAAATTTTTTTCTCTTTTATCATCTTAAGAGCTTATCAGATTCTGTTAATGTATTGGAAATGTGGATATTAGTGATCCTTATCCACATTATCCATAGTCACATTTTGTGACAGTCATTTGTCATGCAACATCAGTCTTCTCAAGGTTCAAGCAATTTTTAACAGCCACTTCAATCTGAAAGAGTGCTAGCCCCCAAATCAGCAAAGGTCTCACTCTGTTAGCCATCTTTCATTTACTACATCTCCATCTCCAGCCCCTCGCTGCAGACCAGAGGCGTTTTAATGTCCCAGATTAGCTCATGAGCTTTTGAAATGCATGAATTATTGTTGGAGGTTACGGCTCAGTAATTAAGGGCCACAGGGCCTTGATTGGACAGAGATTGTCACAGTTTGGCCGACATGCTTATGCCATGGGGAATCCTGCGAGCCAGAATGGGTGTGAGAGTGATATTTCTCTTGCAGGCTTGGCAGGCCACCCACACTAACTTTGTATTGTCTCTTCTCCATAAGACCATTTCCCTTTCCCCCCCAGTCTCTCTAACTCTGTCCTCATTGGCATTTTGGCTCTTTCACACACATTTTCCAGGCTGGCGTTTTGCTTTCAGAGAAATCCAGTCAGATTAACAAAAGCAGAAGCAAAGTGTGGGTGTTTTCCACTCTGAGTTGTCACACAAGACATTTTGTGACAGTGTGTGTGGGCTCAGACCTTTGACCATTTTTTTCAGCTTGCGACTGGCCACAGGCCATCCAGTCTTTTCCTGCCAAGGCAGTTGGGCTTCCCCTTAAATTAATGTGACACTGCTGCTATACGTGCTACTCTTCTATTTCATAATTTGGTGTTTCTTAAAATGTGACTTTATTTCTGATTTTACAGCTAAAGCTGCTATCTTTGTCTTTTTAGGGCTAGAACTAACAATTACTTTAATTATTGATTAATCTGTGAAATATGTGTTCAATTAAATGGGTATTCTTTTAGAGTATAAAATATGAAATGTTCATTACAATTTCCTAGAGCCAAAGATGGTGTCTTTAAATTACTGACTTTTTACAACCAAAATCCAAAGACATTGAATATACAATGATTTAAAAGAGAGAGAGCAGATGTTCATATTTGAGAAATTGGAATCTAACTGTGCCTGAGACTGAGACTGTTTGTTTTTTTTCCCCTGATAAATCACAAACAAATAATCTATTATTAAAACTGCTGTCAATTGCTATCAATTAGACCTCTACCCAAAACCAATCTTTTTTATATCAAAACTGTGCTTGGGAAGAGCCATTTTCATTATCACAAAAGCCACGACTTTAATTGGCATTTATGTTTTAAACTATGTGAAGTTTATTAAAATTCAAATTGATTGTTGATTTTATCAGCTATAAAGAAAACTATAGCCAGCTATTTTATTCAGCTGTAACTCATCAAAAGTCCAGATTGTGAGCTTTTATTTCATCTAAACAATCTAGTATTTCTGGTGTCAACTACAGATTAGTAACGTGTAACCGACACTCACATTCCTACTATAAACCATGCCTGTTAGCCCGTGGATACGGTTCCTGATGCCTGCAGACTTTGTCAAGAGTCGTTGCTGCAGTTTGGTTGATAATTATTGTTGATAATAATTGTTTTGCATTTTGATTAAAATAGTTTTATCATCTGCAGGTGATATATTGTTTCTGCTACTCTCATGATACAATATACATAAGAGTTGGTAGATTTTTCTTTATTTACAATAATAATAAAACATCTAACATCAACACAGTAAGCTAATTAATATCACTTCTTGAGGATAATTAAGCATATTGCTTTACTTCTACTTAATATCGACATATAATGTTACTGTGCCCTGCACTCACTTGGCCACCAAATATTTGAAAACTCTGAAATACATTTACAAGTCATTTACAAGTAGATTAAACCTGTTAAACTAGTTTAAGTTGGTTATTATTGCAGCTTTAACTTTAATACTATGTAGACAACCAATACAGGCCTGGAATTCGTTTATAGAAAATAATCACAATTTAAATGACAATCACAAATATCAAAGTTAGATATTTTCCTCAAAGCAAACAGTCCCACTCTATTTTGTATTTATTTTCATTTTACAAAAGAAAATCCCTCTGTAACAAACTGGCAACAAACCTCTAACCCAATGCATGCTGGGAAAGGCTCCAGCCCCCTGCAACCCTGAACAGGATAAGCGGTTTAAAAAATAGATGCTTGGCTGAAAAAGCAAAGCACATGCTTGCTTTATCTGCATTGCTGTGTTTCCTGCAGCTCGCCCACATCATTAATACACAGGAGAAACACAAAGCCTATGAGATGGGTCCCTGCTCTACCTTGCCTCTCCTTTCCACATTAATCAATATCAGTTTTACATCTCCTTCATTCACAGATAAAAGACAAGTCTC